ACCGGCGGTGAGTGGGCCTCTGGGGCGGGGGTGTCCCCACCCCCCGGGGGGACTTGTCAACCCTAAACCCCGCCAACCCCCCCCCAAATCACTACTGAACAAAAATCACATTCCCCACTCACATACTGGCATCTCTTTCAGATTCAACCTTTTGAAACGTTGAATGTATTTTCCTAGCTGTTTATGAGGTAGGATCTTCTGGACACGTTTTTAATCCCAGTCTTGCGTGGAGGACAGAAGTTGGAGGAGAGGTCACGTGTCACTGGGGTCAGTGCAATCAGATGGGAAGTCCGACCCAATATCGTTGCTCTTTCCTAATGGATTAAGCTGGCTGGCTCCTACAGCCACATCTGGCAGCCATTCCCCGGCCATACTCACCCCGTCATAAGACAAGTTAGAGACAGATTAAATACACATCGGTTTAATTCTGTTGCTAACGGATCCCCGCACATTCATCCTACGTTTCCGGATGTCTGAACTCCCTCTTGTGAAGTCAAGCCATTTGGGAAGTCTGAACCTTCCCTTACATTTCTGCCTCCCCCCCCCTTTTTTGATCAGGTAGCAGTGTTCGCATAAGCGCATAATCACCCCTGGCATTGTCAATCACTGCAGCCAAGGAGTCATTCTGGATTGGGAGTCCCTGTGGGGGAGTTGTTTTCGAGTGACAAATCCCCCCCAAAAAAATCCTTCTCCTGTTTCTGTGTCAGAGTCTGAGAGCATCCCATGACTGACACAAGGGTAAATGTACTGAAGTTAATGGGACTACTATCATGCAAACCTGCACTTTACACACACACACCCATTCCACAGAAGAAAGGCCAAGGGAAGGAGGCTGAGAGGGACCGGAGTACTTGGCAGAGAGATTGCGGAGCTCTCGAAAAGGTGCCAGAGCTTTGGATACATGCTTATGCGCATGGGGGAAAGACAAAAACAACCCCCCGCACACAAACAAAAACGCAACAACCTGAATGATCGACCATGGGGTGAGTGTGCAGTGAAGCCGGTTCAGGGTGGGATGTCTGATCAAGACTTCCTGCAACGAGGGCTTTTTTCGTAGAAAAAGCCAAGCAGGAGCTCATTAGCATAATAGGTCACACCCAACAGCAGAAACTCATTAGCATATTAGGCCACACCCTGAGATAGCAGCTAGCATATTAGGTCACACCCCACACATTACCAGAAGTGTGGTCATCCAGCCACACCCACCTTTTGCTTCTTATTCTATTTACCTTGTTTGTTGTCAAAACCCAGGGCTTTTTTTGTAGCAGGAACCCTTTGCATGTTAGGCTACACACCCCTAATGTAGCCAATCCTAATGAGTTTCTGCTGTCGGGTATGGCCTATTATGCTAATGAGTTCCTGCTGGGCGTGGCCAATTCGGGAGCCAGCCGGAACTCCGTTCCTGTGCGTTCCTGCCCCAAAATAGCCCTGCCTGCAACTATTTAAACCCCTGCAAGTAGAGGCGGTGCCATATCGCTCCAAGCTGCCAGTCTGTCCGTAGCCTGGCAGAGGGCGTGGCTTTCCTGTGTGAGATCCCAGGCTCAATTTTGGGCATCTCTACTGAAAAGGACCTTGGGCCACAGTGCTAGGAGCGATCTGTGCTGCATACACTAATCCCCTACCCCACCTTGCAAACGCCCTCCCAGCTGCTTCTGCATCAACATTATCAGGTCAAACAAAATGCTGGGGGGGGGGTCACCATGCTTCTCTTCTAACAGCAGAATTCAGCTTCCATCTTGCTTGATAGGTTGCCAGGCAGTGCCTGGAAACTGGCCGGAGGGCTGTGGGTGGGACATGACACTGGCTGCAGCATAGCTCTAGGAATCACCAGAAACTCAATGGTTTTACCATAGAGTTTCCATTGATTCCTAGAGCTACCTTATGTCACTTTCAGGATTCTTTTTACCAGAAGTGATGTGACACCACAGCCAGTGTCATGGGGTTTTAAAATTATTTTTGGGATACCCCCTGAGGTTTCTTCTAGTTTTACAGCTCCCTCATTTTAACTACCACCACTTTTAAGGCGTGTAGTAGAGGACAGCTGATGTGAGAAATGAAATACTGTTGGGGAAACCCTCAGTGTCCAAAACTGGAATTAAAGCCCACCCTGAGGAAACGTGATGTGGTGAGAAAACCGGTTTCCCCTCATAACTGCATCCTATCTTGCACTTTTTAAAAACTGTTAATGTCTTCAGCTCTGCTGAACTCAACAGCAAAATCTGGATATCCATTGAATAAAGTCTATATACACTTCTGAAGGTTCGGCTTCACACTTCCGTCTTTCAGCAATCAACACTTCTTAAGTGCTTTTTACCAAATAATGTTGCCTTCTCACATTGTTCCTGCTATAATAGAGGAAAATGTCTTTGCAAACGAGAGAATACATTGTTCACTTTTCAATGGCAGTTCCTTTCCTCCTGAAAATATCTAACAAAACGGGGCCACTTTTGTGCGTTAGATATTGGCTGTTCCTTGCTTTGAAAGGCTGCAGAGTACAATGCAGAGAGCTCTGCTATGTAAAGGAAGTAAAACTGCTAATGAATACAATACGTGTGAAGTCCAAAATAAGCTAGTATAACATTCGGTAAAGTGGAAATGCCGTTGAGTTGAGACGAGGGAAGAGAGGACCATGATTTTGTCAACTCAGTTGCTTGTTAATGAAACAGTGAGGGTCAAGCGAGGTCTTTAAAGCTACCCGAAGGTGCTTGTTCAATAGGTATTGATAGCTGGATTTTTCTTTAATGAGCATTGGTGTCCAGTGGCTATTGAGTTAGGACAGCCCACATGCTCGGGGGGGGGGTGTGTGCTAGGGAAGCAGCTGATAGTTACAGTGCCATTGATAAAAGATAATTTTTTATAAATTTTGTGGCTGGCTGGATGAAAGGGGGGGCCATAGCGCCGTGCCATAGCGGCAGATCCAGCAGGAGTCTATACACGAGTGATGGCGAACCTTTTAGAGACCGAGTGCCCAAACTGCGACCCAAAACCCACTTATTGATTGCAAAGTGCCAACACGGCAATTTAACCTGAATACTGAGGTTTTACTTTAGAAAAAACAACTCATACATTAATTTAAGATGATCCAAACAAAGTAAGGAAAGCAATCCCAAATGCTTTCATTTATTTAAAATTATTTGGCAGAGAATTCGACACTTTAATGATGGTCTGGGCCTGGCTGGGGTGATGGCACGCGTGCCCGCAGAGAGGGCTCTGAGTGCCACCTCTGGCACCCGTGCCATACATTCGCCACCACTGCTATACACCATGGTGTTTCCCCACAACATCCAGAGAATTCTGGTATGGAAAGGAAGTAAACCTGCTACTGAATACAGTATGTACACTATGGGATACAACCAGGGGTCGTTTCGTAAAAAAAGAGCTAGGGGACTCATTAGCATAACTCATTAGCATATGTCACACCCCCTGACATCACCGGAAGTGTGTCATAAGGCCACACACCCCGCCCCCAACGGTCCCAGCCGCCACCGCCAGCCTTGCAGCTCCACTGCCGAGCCCCATCAGGGGCCTGGCGGTGGACCTGCAAGGCCGGCGGGAGTGCGAGGAAGCCCCGCAAAAGCCCTCCCTGGCCCCAGGCAGGCAGGGTGGGGAGAGGCAGGGAGGAAGCAACTTACCCTCCCTCTTCTCCTGCGTCCTCCTGGCTGAATGAGGGCCGGAAGCGGGGTGGCCGGAAGCAGGGGGCGGGGCTTCATCATGTGCCCCGCCCTCGTACCTCACCCGGGGGAACTGCAATCCCCCCGCGATCCCCGCTGAAATGACGTCTGGATACAACAAATATACAAAGACGCAGGAATAATTTTCAGACCCATATTTGCTCACAAGAGGATGTGAGAATAATTCACAACTTTCCACAAAAGGAGCTACTGCAATGTAGAGGATTCCGGTGGGCATGCATAAAGGTGCCACTGGATGCAAGCTTTGTTCTGTGACGTAGTGGTTAGGAGTGAGGGACTAAAATCTGAGTCTTGGACCAAATCCCCATACTGTCATGAAGCTGGCTGGGTGACCTTGGGCCAGCCAGATTTCCTCAGCCTAATACTGCTGAAAACATTGTTGGAAGGCTAAAACGGGGGGAAAGACGGCTGCCTTGAGTTCCTGGGAGGAAGGGAGGAGTAAAAGGCACCGGATATATATGAAGACAGTGTTTAACATTCTGTCACACACAGTTTGGAGCAGTGGTTAAGTGCGCGGACTCTAATCTGGGAGAATTGGGTTTGATTCCCCACACCTCCACATGCAGCTGCTGGATGACGCTTCGGCGAGCCATAGTTCTCTCAGGCTGCGATCACACACACTAAATAATCCACTTTCAATCCACTTTTGAGTTGGATTTTGCCAGTTCACACAGTAAAAATCCATTTGGAATGTGCACTGAAAGTGGATTGAAAGTGGATTATTTAGTGTGTGTGATCGCCACCGCAGAGCTGTTCTCTCAAGAGCAGTTTGTGTCAGAGCTCTCTCAGCCCCACCCACCTCACTGGGTGTCTGTTGTGGGGAGGGGGAGGGAAAGGAGATTGTAAGCCGCTCTGAGACTCCGAGTGAAGGGCGGGGTATAAATCCAACCTCTTCTTCACTCTGTAGTAGTCCCCGAGGGAGCAAAACACATATGGAAAAGGCGAGGGGGAACACAAAGCAATAGGGACACACAAGTGACAAAAATGTCAACGCAGACGTGGCCACTCTTAAGGGGCCTGTTTTGTAGGCACTGGAATGCTCGCTCGCTTTCCCATCATCTGGAGGAATTTTTTAAACAAACAAACAAACAAACAGATACCACAAAAACTGCCACAATCCTCCAGTGCTGTTTCCTTGTGAGGAAACCAAGGCTGCCCCCAGAACTTCCTATCGCTCGGGGGAACTGGAGAACTACAAGCAAGGGACTGCATCGTCTTGCAAGTCATGCAGTCTCGAGGGCATATCAACAACACTTAAAAAGAATTTCGGGGGAAGGGCACCTCCCTCCCCGTTTTTATTCCACGGGCTATCAGAAAGCCGGCCGAAGCATTATTTTCAGAAGCAGACACAAGGATGAATAGAAGAGGACTGATATCACGATCAATTACGACGAGGCATTTCCGTATGAACTAGTAATGATGGGTATTCGTCTGATGGCCACAGGCAAACATGTGCTTCTGAGAATCTACTCAACATCTCTTCCGTGTTGAGGAAGCCTGGAGTGACGCGGGCCGATCCCCGTAACCTTATCAAGCTCGCCAGATCAGTTGCTCAGGAATGAGATTAAGGAAATGCTCTCTGACAACAGAGGTGCCACATAATTAGATGATGTCTTCCGTGATCTAATAAGGCAGTGTTCTTTAAAAAAAAAAAACAATGGGAAAGGGAGATGAAATTCACACTGATAAAATTATTAATTGCATCAGCTAGGAAAAAATGTGGGGACGGCGTACAAGACTCCATCCGTGTTACGTAGAAAAGCATCAGTGTGTGAAATGACACGGTGGCCGTGGCCAGTTCTATGGGCTGACGGAGTGGAGGTCCGATTAGTGTTTATAAACCATATCCCTTTGGTAGCATGGCACATGCATGAAACCAAACAGATGCAGCGTGAAGTATTGTCTGATACGTGGAGATGTAAATAGCTAACATGTCTCTATAGAAACCACTGGCTTGGATCCAGAGAAGTGTGTGCCAAAACGTAAGTGGACTTGGCGCAGTTCTGCTGATGTGAGACCTTGTGTGACACACAGCATTTTCTTCCCTTACGGTACCCAGACACTGCCCGCACAAGATCTTATGCCAGGAGAAACACAAACGAGGAGGCAACAAGTTTGATTTGGCGTAAGCACTGAAAAGTACTGGGTTCGCCGCATGGAGGACTCGGACGACGACATGCGTGTGCACACATTTATTGTACTTAACATCAGACTAGACTAAAAACGGCCCTGCAAGGCCAACTATATACACACCCACCCAGCACAGCCCTAGTCCATTGGAGGGTTTGAATTTCCCGCCAAAGTGGCTATTGGTTGGGGCTGGGGGAACTAGGATCCTATGTTCCTATTGTTCAAGGGAGCCACGCTCCTGCCTGTGCCGCGGACCCCTAGTGGCGGTCCGCGTACATAACAGCACCTACACTAGACTTTTTCCTTTACACCAGACTGGCACAGGAGCACTAGACTTTTTCTTTACACCAGACTTGCGGAAGAGGAAGTCTTGCACCGGATCTACCCCACTGTCTACTGTTACATCACATTCTAAAATGACAAAGAGTCCAAGATGATACACAGCATTTTCTTTCCTGTATATTATGGTACCCAGACACTGCCCGCGCAAGACCTTATGCCAGGAGAAACACAAATGAGGAGGGAATAAGTTTGATTTGGTGTAAGCACTGAAAAGTACTGGGTTCGCCGCATGGTGGACTCGGACGACGACTTGCGTGTGCACACATTTATTGTACTTAACATCAGACTAGACTAAAAACGGCCCTGCAAGGCCAACTATATACACACCCACCCAGCACAGCCCTAGTCCATTGGAGGGTTTGAATTTCCCGCCAAAGTGGCTATTGGTTGGGGCTGGGGGAACTAGGATCCTATGTTCCTATTGTTCAAGGGAGCCACGCTCCTGCCTGTGCCGCGGACCCCTAGTGGGGGGCCCCGCACA